TTTTTTTTTTTTTTACAGGTGGGTTTTATAACTTTATGGTTTGTAGAATTAGATTCTAGCAGGCCTGTGCATCTCTTAATTTTGAATGTTAAATGCCTAAAACTATTTCCTCTGTAATGATTGAAACATGATTAATTACTAGTGAATTTCTGTGTATTGTCCATACCATCTTTGTCTTTTTTCAATTAAAAAGGCTCGCTTTTTTTTTTTCAAAATTAACATTCCTTTGGTTTCCCCTAACCCTAAGCATTATTTTCCCATTCTTCTTCTCCTTCTTTAACCAGACTGATCTAGAAAAAGACCTCTACCTCTACCAGACTGAGTTAGAGGCAGATTTAGAAAAAATGGAGAAGCTTTATAAAGCGCCACATAAAAAGCCACAGAAGGTATTTCCTATTCTTTTCATGCTGCCAATCCCTGTTTCCAAACTCTCTGCTCTAATCTATTCACTGCTGGATGATTATTAAATGAGGTTGGGATAAATAATGGTTCTGACCGTTCTGACTGCATGGCTTGCTGTGTCGCTGTCAGAAATAATAGAATGTGATGCTGAGAATCCGGCTTGAAATCCATTTCAGATACAGTGATTTCCTCTCTCCCCCATTCCCTTTCAGCTGCCCCCCACCCCCACCCCCCTTTAGGGTTTTGAGTTCAGTGTCTGCAAAAAAACCCTCTCTATTTTTCACATGAATAGGCAGCAGCAATCAGCTTAAAATTCTTGGTTGGCGTCACGTCATCATCTCGTGCCTTTCAAGCGTGTTGCCATCTACGCTCCCTTCATACAAGCCCTGCTCTCTGCTAGGAGCTCACGCCTACCCAAGATTTGGATATCCCCAAGAGATTTTACACAATTTTCCTTACGCTGCACCTTGCCATGGCCTTCTAGGGCAGGTCAGCTGCTGCTGCTGTTTTCAGGGTCTGCAGGACCCCAACCGTGAAATGATAGATTAATTTGGTAACACGCCATTTTTTCTATTTTTTTCTGTTGTTGATTTTTTTTGAAGCTGCGGCATTTCACCAGGACTTGAAAGAGCTGCTTTTTCAAACCCGAGATTTGCTTTTTCCTCCTGCATAGGAATCCTCAGATAGATAAGGGGACACCTAATAGAGCATTTACTCTAAAATTGCCTTCAATTTTTTAAATAATGTGCCTAGGAACTGTTAGATGGATTTAAAGCAAGCGGATAAGAACTGGCTTTTGCTATTGAACCTGTGCAGCTGGCATTGCTTCTCTTAAGTAAGGAAACTGAACTGAAACATTGCCTTTTCTTGTTAGTGCTTTGATATTTTTTTGAACGCTGAGGAATGTATTGTGCTGCAGAAATGTAATATACCTTTAAAGCAAAGGCGGGCAGTGACCGGTTGGGGGAAAAGCTTGGGGAAATAATTATGAGCATGTGTCTCCTGGTCGTGGCCCAGCTGGTTATCTCTTCTTGCTTTTGGCTTTATTCACAATGACTCATTTGCAGACAAAAGAATAGGCGCTGCGAAAAGGCATCGGCTGTGCTAAAAACCTGTCACTGCCCTGAAGGAACTCAGGAAAATTGTCGCTTTTCTGCAAAGACACTGACAGCTTAAATTGCATTTAGACTTAAACCTCAATGTCTCCTAAAGGCTAATATTCAAGCAATAGATGGAAAATTACTTAAGCAAGCCTTTTTGTTTCTCCTCACATGTAAGTGTGTATCAATGACTCCTTTGTTTGGACTTTTGCAGAATACAGCAGGTGTTACTCCTCTGGAAACTTCCACAGACCATTCTTCCTAGTAAGTTTTCCAATTGCTTTTTGATATCTCTTTTGCAATCTGAGGGCAAGTCGGACAGAGTTTAGGGCATTGGAAACGGGTTGGCTTTATTTTTTGGTGATGGATATAGACAAATGCATGTACTAGGAGAATTATACATGTGCTTTAGATGAGTCCAGGTACAATATCTGCTCTTTGATCTTGAATGAATTTTGAAGTGATTACATGGGTGATTGCATTGTCTAGATAAGAATTGCTGATTGTGCTAGGCAGTGACTTTAAAAAAAAACAAACCGACCTTTAACTCCATCTTGATGAAGTTTGCAAATTGACTGTAACTTTATGCAAGTAACCTTATTGCGTGGAATAAACAAAGTTTGTTTCTGTTACACACGTATGATAGATTGGCTCCTGTTAGATATTCCCAGTTATGCGCACCAGATCAAAAGGATGCTATTGATGGAAGGCAAAAATTTTCCAGCTTCCAGGAAGGGAACAGTGGTAGCAGTAACGATATTTCTCAAAGATCTAATATGGCATTGCTTTTCTGGAGGAATATATAATAAACAGTATACTCTGTCTAAATGAGTTGTAGATGGAGCTGGTTTGTTTTAAAAGAGGAATACAAAAAAATCCAAACCCCAGAGAAAGATGCTGAGCTGTGTTGAGTTACTCGAGCCATGGAGCCAGCTCCTACTGCGAACCTGCTGCTCCTTGTAATTGGACTGAATGCTTAATGTTGTCTGTAGGCACAGTGATCCCCTCGGCGTGGATGGTTTGTTAGGAAAGGCATGTTCTTCTCCAGATGCGCATTAATAGCGCATGTGTTCACGTGTGTTCACCGCCCCTCTGGGGCTGCCTTTAGAGGTCTCCTGTACTTTCAACTCAGTTCCCTTCTGTCTGTGTTCATTCTGCTGGGAAACTCATACACTGCTACATTTTGTCGGTTGCTCCTATGACTGTTTAGTTTTGTTTTGGTAGGGAGAGAGCAATAAAATAAATGGAAATCTCAGAGATTAGCATAAAAGAATAGCTTATATTTGCCAAAGTCTGGTAAGGTTTCCACCCACAGCACCACTGTGCCCTTTCTGACGCCACCCAAAGCATGCAGGAGTTGCCAGCATCTGAGCCAGTGGAGCGGAAGCAACCTGGGTAGGCTGGGAATGGGACGCAACAGCGAGGCCCAGTGGAGTCACACATTCTTCCCTGCCCTGCCTTTAGAGAGCAGGGAGAAAGGATACCTGGAGTTTATTGTCTTTTTTGCAGTGTTGCTCTTCCCTCCGTTCACCTAATTCTGGTCTTGCAGACTGCCTTGGCCCCCACAGTACTGCTTGCTGGCCCTAATGAGGGAGCAACCGGTAAAGGGACTCTGCCAAATGCCTCCTCTCTCTCCCCCAGGTGTATTCCCAAAGGAGGATAATTTTAACCCTTTGGTTTTTAACAACTAGGCTAAAATGTTTTTACCTCCCAGGTGAGGAACCTCAGGGCACTCATTATTCCCTGCAGCAACTGGCAAGGCTTCCTCGGGAACCTGACAAAGAGAAGCACTGGGATAACCCCCATAAGACACAGCAGCTCTGTAGCTATGGGTCTGCTTGAGCATTGCCTAGGTTGAAAAAGTGATGGTATTCTCTTTCTCTGTTGTGGTGCTTTTCACAAACTTTTACTCCAGAAAGTAATTTATGGGACCACATATGACCTGGTTTTCCTTGTCCAGAAGATAAAATCTTCTTTGTGATCCAGACGTTGTGTAATTCCACCTCCATAGCCAGTCCTCTGATGTGTTTGAAAGCTTTCTCTTTACCCCATAAGTACAGCGTCTATCCAGAATAAACAGATGCATGTACAAATTTATCCGCAACAAGCAGGCATAACCACAAGCATTTCCACACTGACATAAATTTGAATCGCTCCTGGATATCAGAATGTAAACCAGCTTTCAAAATGTTTCCATGAATTGGCAAATGCCCTGTTTTTTTTATTTTTTTCAAACTTTCCAGCAGTCATGCTTTGGCCCCAGAATAGCTTTGTGTGAGACTGCATCTTATTCTGAAGAGCCTGGTTGAACACATGAACTGATATCACATGAGCGTAGCATTTAGGAAAACATTGTCTGCCTGATTGATACCAGGACACTCAGCAAGTCTTTTGTACCTGGAAAGGCCATTTATACCATGGCATTCTGGTTATTTTTTTAGAGAGAAAACAGTGAAATCTAGAAATCAGATGGAGGGGCATACTTGTGCTTAGATTCATGACTGAGGAAAGGGATTTGTAAAAAATGTCCAGTCTTTAAAGGCCTAAGAAATTAAAATTATACTCATTTTAACAGCATTTTGCTTATATATCTGCATGGTAGACCTAGCGTCCAGGATTTTTCATTCCCTTTAGTGGAAGCCTGAGGCAGAGCTGAGCAGAACTGTGCACATCTGGGAATTTCTTTGGCATTTAAAACCGTAGTGTCTATAGCCCCGTACCATTGCTTCTCTGCATGGTCCCTCACTGATAGGCTTGAGAAGTTGCTCTGGGAGTCTTGAACTATAGTGTTAACTGGGAGGCTGAACTGGTTGAGATGAACTCCTGAGCAGCTGTGCTTTGTAACCAGGGGACAGGCATGGCTAGTGTTTAAGGAGAGAGGACTGGGAGCTGGAAGATATTTGTGCTACTTCCAGCTAGCCACTGAATTTCTTTGTGTCTGCAAAGAAATCGTGCATCTGCTCTGTGACTCTCTTGCCTCATCTGTAAAATAAAGGAGGAGTGCTTTCCTGCCGCCTGTTTTCTGGGGGACTGAGCTGGGAGAGTTCCCTCAGGTGGAGAATGCTACGATAGTGCCAAACCTAGAACATTATCGCAGTGTATTCATAACCTCTTCATTCAGCACCACGTCTTCATACACAGTCTATTCTGGGTTCACAAATGTGGTTTTCTCTTACTTTGCATGAAGCTCTCAGAAAACAGAAGTGACCCACTGGCGTCCCTCCCCCTTTTTTGTGTTTTCCAGCTCCACATATTCACCCAACTACCATGCAGTGAAGAGGGAGTCAGAACCAGCACTGGTGGACCCTGCTGGCTTGGAGAATGAAAGGCAGATTTACAAGAGTGTGCTGGAAGGTGGAGATATCCCGTTCCAGGGGCTGAGTGGTCTCAAGCGACCTTCTAGCTCTGCTTCCACAAAAGGTAGGTGGTCAGAGCGCTAACCTCTTCTCCATTCTGCACAGTGTCAAAAGCCAGGTGATACGGGGCAAACTGCTGCAGGGTTTAGAGGCCTATTCAAGCCCGTTGAGGTTTTCTCTGTTCTTCCTCTTTGCCATCCCCAGTTTTCCCTCCTTTTTTTCTCTCAGCCCACATTGGCCAGTGTTTTTCATGACCCCTTTATCTGATCCAGGTTCCTCTTCCCAACAGGGACCAGCTCCCTCCATCCAGCACCTCAGCCACACCCCACACCCTCATGTTCTTCCTCGAGGCTGCTCAGGCTGGCCTTGCTATCCATCCGCTCCCACTGCCTTGCCATGCTAGAGCCCTTCCCTGCCTTTTCTGCTCTTTCTGCTGTGGTATCTCAGCAGGCCACACCATCTCTGCTGGCCTGGCTACCCTGGTGTAGCTGGCACCGTGTGCTCCACAGCCTCCTGCCTGCAAGGGGTGTGCAGAGAATGCATGGGACACTGTGAACCAGCAATGCCCTGCAGGCTCTGCGACAGTGAGGCAGCAGAGACGGCTGCATCTCCTCCTCTTTCCTCCCCACATCGTGGGCTCTCTAGAAGATTAGGACAAGGAAGAGCCTGACTCCCATCAGGGAGTTCTATTGGGGAATGTATCTCTGAGCCAACTTCAACCTAAAAATGGCTTGAGATGGGGAGAGGACTGGGGAAGGAATGTGTTTGTTTTCTGAACTGCTCTCCCTAAAAATAGTACATCACACCAAAAAGGTCTCTCTCTGTCTCCGTCTTCCAGCTGTTTTTCAGCATTACGTCAGGCCTGTAGGCCAGGGAGTCAAACTGGATCTGAACAAAAAAATTCTGTTGAAACAGTTATAGTTCCCCAAACTGCAATTGAACCTGAATGGTTATTTTGACATTTGAGTTTGAACTCAAATCAGAAGCAGACCTAAAAACTGCAGTCTAAGCTGAACCCAGACTGGATCTGACTTTAAAAAAAAAATAACGTCCTGATCTGACTCCTTGATTTTTAAAGCAAACATGGCCAACCACATTGTCTGAAGGACACTCAGCTTATTCCTAGTATGGGGAATCTCTAAGCAGGCAGCTCTTAGGCAAGACCAGCTGATAAGGCCTGCTTGTGCTAGCACAGTCAGCCGCCGATTGTCTTCTCCCTCCCAGGAATAAACTGTTTGGCAAGCACTGTGGTGAGACCATAGTAGGTGTGATTACAGGCTTGGTATTAAGCCATTTTTGCAATGTTAGCGCCTCTGCATTCTCGCTGACACCCTCATCCTGCCCAGAGTTCAGCTGCCCTTTTTCATGGTGCCGCAGCTTCCCTGGAAGCTGATGATGCTTAGCACTTTTTAGGAGGGTACCTTCAAAGTGCTCCAGATCTGCTTCTGGCCAAGCCTCTCATTTTAGAGATGTTAGCAGCGCTTCACCTACTCCTGTAAGCGCGGCTTGTTGTGCAGTTTCTTCCTGCTTTTCTTTATGTTTTGGAACTTTGTGTCTTTAAAGTGCATTTTATGAAATCCAAGCATGTTCTTTCTCCTTTCTCAATAGCTTTCTAGCACTTAAGCTAACAGGTTGTATTTATTTTATTCTGCATGCTTTCCAGTGGATCGTAAAGGTGGGAATGCTCATATGACTGCACCCTCTTCAGTTAATAGCCGAACCTTTAACGCTAGTCATACCGGTATGTTAGGTCACGCATGTAAACATAAGAAGCCCTTATCAGCTGCAAAAGCCTGCATTACTGAAATCCTCCCTTCTAAATTCAAACCCAAACTAGCAGCTCCAGCTGCTCTTGTGCAGGACAAGAAGGGTATCCTGCTGTCTCATGAGAAAGCTCAAAGCTGCGAAAATCTTCGTAGCTCCATTGCCTTGTTCGATAATAAAAAAGCTTTCATGGTAGACATAGGGGAAAGCATAGAAAACATGTTGATGAAGTCGAAGCAGGAGTATGCCATCAAATCCGGCAGTACCATGAGCCTGCAGGAGTATGGCACCAACTCTAGGAAAGGCTACCTGTTCCCTGCCTCCAGGAAGAGTGGGATGGAGTTTACAATGCTGTATAAAGACATGCACCAGATCAACCGATCCAGGATCCATTTGGGCACGGTCTCCTCCTGCAGCGTGAGGGATATTGCATCTCAGTTTGAGAATGAAGCAAAGGACAGGATGGAGCACAGCCTTAGTCGAGAGGATTCAGAGCAGATCCCCAAACACACCGTTTCCTCCCGTATCAGTGCCTTTGAGCAGCTGATCCAGAGATCCCGATCAATGCCCTCGCTTGACCTTTCCACTGGACAAACCAAATTCACCACTTCTCTCCAGTCTAAAACTTGTCTGAGTTCTGCTTACTCTGCAGAGTTTCTTCTGGATTTGCCAAAAGAACACCAAGAAGAGAAGGATGCTGCCAGCTTGGCAGATAAATCCTCCCGCTCCTGCAGCAACGTGGAGGACACAGCTTCGGATGTCAGTGATGCCATCCCTATGGACACACTTTCAGCTTGCACGGATGAGATAGATCTCCTCTCAAATGCATCCAATGATAGCGGCAGCAGCAGCAGCAACCTCAATGGGCCTCAGAAGCATAAAATCAACAGATGTAAAGGCGCATGCCCAGCTTCCTACACCAGGTTCACTACCATCCGAAGGCATGAGCAGCAGCAGGCCTCCAGGAACCCTGATTCCAAAGGAGATGTCTATGGGGACAGACACATGCTCCCCAGAAACGTCTACCTAATGAGCCCGCTTCCCTTCCGATTGAAAAAGCCCTTCCAACACAAACCCTGCAGGACTCCACCCCCAGACTGCCCGGGAAGCCCGGCAGTGCCCAGCCCTGAGAACCCAGACGACCCCATACAGCTGCAGGGGAGCGTGGGAGACAAGAGTCACCACTCCCAGCACCAACTGTGCTCCAGAAGCAGGCCTCTAGCCCCCAGGCGCCTGTCTTCCTTTGACACTGTGGAGAGGCTTAGCTACTTCCCCACCATGGGATCTAACCAAGATAGCTTCATGGGCCGGGCTGACACTCCTGACTCCTTAAACAATGGGAACCCTGTTCCATATGCTCTCTGTCACAGCCTGGACACAAACAACAACCCGCAAAGTGAACTTGGGACGTACCTAGGAGGTGGCTTTTTGTGTTCTTTACCAGTGTCCCTTCATCTGTGTTCTTGCTTTCCTTTCTCCTGCCCTTTTCTTCCACAACCCTTGCATTTTTGCTCCCCACCTTTGCATCCCCTGACTCTCTCTGTTTTTTCCCCCTAGTGTGTCTAATGTCCTTTGCGTGTCTTGCTGAGCATTTTTGTTCAGGACTTGTTAACAGCTGCACTTCTGAGAAACGATTTCCGCTGCCTTTCTAATCACATCGGGTTCAGTTTGTCTCTCGAGCAACTCCAGGGATGCAAGAATCTCAACATGAGATATTTCTAGTCCTGTATCATTCACACACATGGGAATATAAAACAAACCCAGATTATTTGCTTTAAGGAGCAGTTTCTCAAGGTCTAGTTGTGTGTGTGCGTGCGTGTGTGTATTAAACTTTTCTCAACAGTAAAATGCCAAATCATGCTTTGATGACAGCAAATCTTTTCTTCACAAAGTCTTTCTATGTCTTTACTCTTTCCCATACTGTTATTTTCTCCCTGTTTTTGGATCTTTGTTCACAAGTACAGCCCAAAAGGGAAAAAAATGAAAATGGATAAATTATCGACATCTGATTGGCAATTTGGTCAATGGCAATTGAGAATCCTTACTGTCATAATGGAAACAAATTGTTTAAAAATACCTATTTTTTTCCTTTCTGGTTATGCTAGATAAATCCATCTGTATTTTAACTTCCTTATGTTGTTTCGAAGTAGATTCAGAATCACCAAGGCATTTTGCACCAGTTGATTACATGGAAACTCCAGAAGAAATTATCCGCAGACGGCATGACGATAAAGAGGTAATGCCCTCCTTTATGGCCTAATAGCAGTTGTAGCAGCTCCACATTCAAGAAATGTAGCATTCAGCCTTCTATAAGAACAGCTTGTATGTCCATGGCTATGTATATTGGAAGTTAGAGCAACAAGCTGGAACTAGTATGTTTTAATTTTAATACTACCTTTGCCACTGATGTAGTGTGTAATGTGTAGTCCAGTTCAGCTTTTGGTTAAAATGAACCTGATAGTTCTTATCAATTGCACAAAATGGTATATGGGGGCTTTAAAGAATGTAAAAAGGTTGGAGATGTATGTGAGATGTGGTACAACACCCCAGTACTCACGGATAAAGATGAAATGGTTATTCTATAAGTGAGTTAAGGTTTTATTGTTTTCCAAGCAAGCCACTTGAGTCAGTATTAATCAGACTGATGAGAACAGTATTTTTCTTGTGGGGATCCTCAGGTTTTAAACAGCAAATGTAAGATATTTTAAGCTACCAGAAAGTGTGAAGTTTCCCTCCCGTGCAAACTAGAATTTTTTATGGTGTCTCAAGTTATTGACGACAGAATGTAGCAGTCCTTTTCAAAATGACTGGGCAACACTGGGACAAGCCGAAATAATAGGGAAGCCACATAGTTCAGCACTGACTGTATTCAAGCTGAGTTAAAGAAGTTGTAAAGTGATTGCTTTCCAGGAAGCTGTTAATTTTCACTGCCTGGGGGGAGGGGAAAAAAAGTTATATTTTTAGTGTTAACTTTCTGAGTTCAAATAATGTTTATGTGTGTTTTGAAATACGGTAAAACCTGCTCTTAATTCCTATATGAAAAATATACTTTGGCTGTCTTCTCCCATGAAACGGTTAGTAATCCCCCCGCTTCCAAAATCCAGCACGAAAACTCGTGTAAGAGCAAAACTCTGAATCCACTAAGACCTGTTGGCTTCAAATGAGTTAGCACAGAGCTGAACTCTTCAGCCTACAGTCAGCACCAAAAGGTGGAAGAATCCTTCTGCCCAGGTACTCAAGAATGCGCGTTTCCATTAGTGTGCCAGAGGCTTCAGAAGTTCAAAATAATTCTTTGGGCTTTATTTATTTTATGAAGAGGAGTATTACATGAGCCCAAAGGAAGTATGGGAGAACCTGATACCTGAGGGTGGTTAAGCACTCTCCCAAGCTCCTTGCAAAGCTCAGGGGAGTTTGGTGCCTCGGAGCTTACCTGTGGGGCTGATTCAGGTCTCTTGGAAGTCAATGAGAGAAACTCCTTGTTGGTTGAAGGAGGTTTGGATCAGCCCTCTGCATTATCAACAATCTTCTTAGAAGCTCCCAGGACCTGGCCAAAACTTAGAAAAACTCCTCGTTGACTTCCATCGGCTTTGGATCAGATCCTCTGTATGAGCTGGATTTCAGTTATGCCATAATGGTGATATACTTTCTGTGCTTGCAAAACAAAAGGGTATTGTGTAGTTAGTAGAATCAGTATTTTATGTTGAACTGTAAAATCCCAGCTATTTGCTGGGACCTCAGAAATTTTATTTAAGTCACATTTATGGCAGCTTTTGAATGCCTTTAACTAGATGATTTACTGCCCATTTTATGCAATTTTATGGCAGAAACTTTTAGAGGACCAGAGACGGCTTAAACGTGAGCAAGAAGAAGCTGATATTGCAGCTAGAAGGCACACAGGGGTTATTCCAACGCACCATCAGTTTATCACTAATGAGCGATTTGGGGACCTCCTAAATGTAGACGATACAGCAAAGAGGAAATCTGGGTCAGAGGTCTGTTTTAGTTACCTCAGTCTGCTGCTTGACCCAAAGCAATATTTGCCTCTCACAATGTTGTGCTTTAAGCCGACATTACCTCTTCAGAGAATGTCGTTTGTTTTTTTTTTTTTTCCCCACCTTCCCCTTTCCCATTCTGGCTTCATTTAGATCTGCTTTGACTCTTGTGCCTGGTAACTTAATTGATACCTCTATACCAAGCTGCATATGTTAAAGCATGCCTGCTGAGGATTGCTGGTGCACACCTGTGATGCATGCCTTTAAATATCAGCTACTTTTAGTGAATAAAAGGCATTCTACATCTTTTGCATCATATTGCTACATTGTCTTCTTGTCTGTGCCTTACGCTTAGAAACTTCATGTCTTGTTGATCCTGGCCATGTGACTGTCTCATAGTTTTTTTTTAGAAATGGATTGTTTCTTCTCCTCTTGAAAGATGCTTAATGTCCTTTAGAAACAATTGGAAAAAGTCTCGGCATGTTTCACTGTGTACGACCTGGTCGGTCTTTCTGAAAGAGACAAAGGAGGAGGTAGACGGTTTTCCGATGCACTTCAAGGCACTTCTCTCGAGAGCTGGATGCTAGTCCAGGTGTCCTGGCCAAATGCTTTTTCCTGCCTTAGGGATTGCTGCTGGGGCTCTGGACAGCAGCTCTGTTTCCCCAGAGGTGCTGCACTGTGGTGGTAGGTGAGGTGGTCACCATGTGGATGGAGTACACTTGTCTGCCTTTTATGCAGTTTAAAATGGTCTGGTGCCACATGAATATGACTACTTCTTATCTTATGCTCTATTACCAAAATGATTTTAAAATTGTCTGAATATTTTGTGACCATTAGAAAATCAGCCAAGTAAATCAAGCTTTAAAGCCTAGGCCTGCTGTCAACGTCCTCTTTGGCTTTATAGCCACTGAAGACATTTTTTTAGACACATGCTTAATTTATTCATATTTGCTCCTCACCTTTGTCTCTTTCCTGCCAATTTATACAGAGTACATGGGTCACATTGCAGGATTCAGCAGGGCCAGGTAATAATCAATAAAAGCCACATCAAATAAAATCCTACTGTTTTTTTCCCAGCTAGTAAATTTTGCTTTTCCATTCACATGTCAAGGGAAATTTGGTCCCGGAGCCCCAGTAACTGTAGTTACTGGAGCAGCTTTCATTCAACAGGGTTTGTCACACTTAAAAGTTTACTGCTGTTAAATCCATTTTCTGTAGAGCTCTTAATTACTGTTATACCAGAAGTTGGCACTTTTTGCCGTGGTGGGAGAGACCCATCCAGCATATTTGGACTGTAGTACCAGTTGCACACAAGCTTGTAGCAGAATACCTGCATTCAATTTCTTCCCCAGACTAACATTAGCTATAGAAGAGTTTGGGTGCTTTTCCTCAGAAGAGGGTTGAAAACCTAATTATTATTTTAATGTGTTGATTTTTTTGATCTCTAGATGAGACCTGCTAGAGCCAAGTTTGACTTTAAAGCACAGACGCTAAAGTGAGTACAGCTTGTTACTACTGCCTTGAGTGTTCTTCCTCTGCTTTTTCCCCTAGGATGGAGCATTTATGAAGTGTCGTGCAATTGGATTCATATTTTGGGAGTGTCTTTCCAGCAGCTCAAAGCAAAGGTGTCCATAGTAAGGCAGGGAAAAGTAATATGAATCTTGCAGGTTGTAGCCTCTAAAGGACCTTTAGGAAAATGCCTTCTTTCTCAGTGCATCTGTGTCCCATGTGATTTTTAGGGCAAACCTGCATTCTTTACTGGAACAAGTGAGTGCTCTGCTCTGAGGGTGGGTGGAGCCATGGGGGAGCACTCTGGCTGATGTTCCTTCTCGCACCTTGTAGGCAGGACAGCTGGGTGAGACCTTTCAGCAGCAGCTCTGTCACTGCCCTTGTGCTGGAGACGCAAGGGATTCCCCTGCATGACATCCCTGGTTGTGCTCCGATTTAGGAGCTGGAAGTACCGTGTTAGTCAGTAGCTCACTGTGTCAATCTGCCGTACAGATGGTCAGAAGAACATAGATACACAGAACAGCAGCATCCTTTTCACTGTGCTAAGCATAGCCCAAAGTCAGCAAGGGACTTAGATGCCTAGCTTTAAGCATGTAGGTGGGCCCTTGACTCAGGCTTTTCCTGATTCAGGACCTATAAGGGTACAGAGTGGTCACTGCTCCCCTGGCATCTGTGGATACACCAGTGGATGTTTCTGGTGGCATTGTGCCCTGTTGTGGTCCGTCAGGTGAATCACACAGCACTACTCGTTCTTTTTGGGGAACACTGCTGTGAAGAGGCGGCCTGGAAGGCCTTTCCCTCTGCATGAGCCTGGAGAAGCTCTCATTTTAACATTGCTAGGGAGGGAAGAAAGAACGGAATTCAGTGAAGGACCTGCTGTTTTTCTTCTCAGGTGCTAATGTCCTGGGAATATTTTGTTACATGTTCTATAGGTGATGATTTGTAACGATTTATGCAGCATCTCCCCAGCACCTGTAACAAAACTGGGGCAGATGTAAGGTGTAACTGTTGTGTCCCTTGAGCAGAAGATAACAGGGTGCCAGACAAAAGTAAAAGAGAGCTTGTGAAAATCGTGTTAGGAAAAGCTGGTTTGGTTGTTTTCCTGTGGGGACCCAAGTAGTAGGTTTATGAGCCTAGCGCAAGCTACCCACAGTGGGAGTTCCTCAAGCTGCAGACGTTCATAATTTTAGCACCGAAGACTGTAGATTGAAATCCCAATTGTTAGCCCAGGTGAGGCTGACCAGAAGTGTAACCGTTGCAGGATCAACATTGGCATGTGAGGGGGTTCATCTAATCAGCAAACTAGCTTCCATTAAAATCATGTGTGTCTTTGGAAGGCACTTGTGGCATGACCTGTTTCAAAACAGGAATTGAGCACTGCTCACCATATCCAACATGGAAGGCAGCCAGTGGCATCTTTTGCTTGAGCTTGACCCCATTGCTGCTGGAGGGTGTGTGGTTAGTAGGGCCCTCATAGGCCGGCTTTTTTGACGGGATGCCCAAAGAGCAAGAGTCCCTGCACATCACGATATGAGCAGGGTAATTCTCAACACGTGGCTGTCACTTTGGGCAGAGCATGATTTGTATCAACAGGGCTGATGCAGACCTTGGTACCTAGGGATTGCTGGACAGAAAAAGAACACGTCTGTTCTCCAGTGAAGTTCTGATGGAGTGCTTGTGTTGTTAACAGGGAACTTCCTCTACAAAAAGGAGATATTGTTTACATTTACAAGCAGATTGACCAGAACTGGTATGAAGGTGAACACCATGGCAGAGTTGGCATCTTCCCACGATCATACATAGAGGTAGCTGCTTTCCTTGCAGGTGTTCTCTTTGCCCACTCCTTTTCTGCCAGTGACCAGTTTATGGGCTTTTTGTATGTGACTCATTTGATTCTGTTTGTTCATTCTAGCTCCTCCCACCAGCTGAGAAAGCTCAGCCCAAAAAGCCATCACCGTTGCAAGTATTGGAATATGGAGATGCTGTTGCTAAGTTCAACTTTAATGGGGATACCCAAGTGGAAATGTCCTTCAGAAAGGTAGGGCTTTTGTTGTGCTGATGAATTGGATCCAGACAAATGCTGAAGTTTTTTAACACTAGTAACTTAAAATTTCCAAATGAAAGCTCCAATAAGATGAACTCCATATTCAGGAAGGATTCCTTCTCATCACCCATGTTTTTACTCCATAGTCGTTATGTAGTGCATTGCAGTGAGAGTGTTGCAGGTAGGCTGAATCAAGAAGTGCCAATTGCTTCCTTAGGGCTAGCTGAGAAGATACTTTGAGCACAAGTGCTGGAAGCCTGGCTCTGCAAGGCAAATTAGATATTCGGTGATGTGTCTCCAGTCTGATCCTCTCCAGTGGAGATGCACAGTCACATGAGAACAGTGATATAGAAAAGAAGGAAACTGGGTTCGCCTTCCTTTGTACTACAAGCCAAATCATTGAGCACAGGCAAGTGAGATTCTGTGGTATTGAAGTGACTGGCTAGACCTGACTGCAGAGTGAAGGGATAGGAACAGGTTGTGTAATGGCTGTTCAGAGCAAAGTCAGCCATATTTAGATTAAGTAGCAGCATTTCTCCATCTCAACCAGCTTTCTGTTTTGATGCTTAGATTAGATCTTGTCTGTCTTCTCTTTTAATTATATATGAAGGTGGAGCTTGCAGTTTATATTAAGGATCTGGAAGTCACTTCATTTGTCAGCAAAACAGGAGAGAGCATAGCGAGACCTAGTTTAAACTGCAGACCTGTGCATACTCCCTGTACACCTCATACCCCTTGAGAGTCTCCTGGTCAGCCTGAAACTGCTGGTTTCCATTTTTTTAACTGACTTTAGCAAGTAGGGTCTTGAAAACGTGGGCATAACTGAGTGAGCATAACTGAGTCTGCAGACAGCCCAAGTCAGCACTAGAAGATCTGCATTTCCTCCTCTGAACTGAAAAATATCATTCCCACCTGGAGGTTAGGGTCAAGACCACATAACTGGGAAATAGGGGAGGCTGAGAGCAACTGATTGTTTTAAGTCAGCTGCAGCGAGATTAAAAATGTAATCTGCTTTGGAATGATGCAATATGTTAAAGTCAGGACTACATTACTATTCCTTCCCATAGGGTGAAAGGATCACGTTGATTCGACGAGTGGATGAGAATTGGTATGAAGGAAAAATATCTGGCACCAGTCGCCAAGGCATCTTCCCTGTCACTTACGTGGAGGTGCTCAAACGGCCAGTGGTCAAGAATGCCATCGATTATCCTGACCCACCAATGTCCCTCTCCCCTAACCGCAGCATGACAGCTTCACCACAGGTATTTGGACTAGAGGCAGCCAGTTGCAGCACCTTGCAGAACAGAGGGATGTTGCCGTTGCTGTGCAAGAAGCAATAGCTGAAATAAGCTGTAGCTAAGACTAGTGTTTTGCGCAGTAAAAGCCATGCGCTCCCTGCAGTATGCTGCAACTGCAGGAAAAGGTGATGTTTCATTTACCAGAAAGGTTAATGAACCAGAAAGGTCATTTGGGGATTTGGAGACTCAGCTTTTCATCTCTGATCTGTAGCTTGAATTCAGGCCAGGTTGAAAGGGCTACAGTTCACAGCCATCTGAATAAATTTCACTGCCAGAGATGGAATGAATTGGTGATCGAGCTCCTCCTGAGTGCATGTATACACTTTACAGACCTCCACTGCGATGAGTGAATTTTTTTATTATAACACATTATAGCGTCCCAGGCTGTCACAGTCTGTAGGAGTCATTATGTTGATCCTGGTCAGCTTGAATCGAGCTGTATACTTACTCCTAAATGTTCCAGCTCACGACCAAGGTTTTGGGAGACAGGGTCAGGAGAGCAGCTTGTACTATTTGAAATTGGTGCTAAATGAACTCAGGTTTTGAGAGCAGTCTGGGATCTTCCATGAATATTAGATTCACTATAAATCATACTGCAGTTCAAACCAGAAATCAAAATGGCAGCAGATAATTGTATGGGAATCCCAGAATGTTTGCCATGGAAAATGTATCAGGGAGGCAGTGAGTCTCTAAATCCCTTTGTTTTGCTCTCATCCTGCAAATACTCATGCTTGAAGGTTGGCATACATGTCTGGGTCGCGGCCATGAGGTTCTGGCGCATCCCCTTCTCACCCACGGGATCAAAGCAAGGTCATTCTGAGGTCAAGACTGCAAGGAACAAAAGTGGAGAATTGGGATCGGGAGGAAGGGATATACGGTACAGGACTGATGGGAAGGGCTGCCATGGCTCATGCCTGGTGTCTGTCTGGGTCTTCCCTAAAAGGAGTGTTTTTATTCTTAGCCACTGTGTAAAGAGGAAAGACTTGTTGCTTGTTTGGGGTTCCCTGTCAAAGTGGATCTCAGCTGAGCTTTTCTCTTTGAGCTTGGCAGTCTCTCCATAGCTGTGGCCGGCCTGCCACCAGCTCTCTGCAAGCTTCTCCATTTGATGGAAGGGATTGTATCCACCCTTTTTTGGTTTCCTTTGCTATTCTTTTGATTCCTCCCCTAGTAAATCAATTCTCTCCCTTACTTTTTTGCCTAACTTGGCAGAGCACTGAGAAATGCTCTGATCAGTGCAAATGTAGCTCATCTCACTGATGTCGGTGGTGGTAATAGCTAAGGGCAGAACTCGATTGTGTGTTCTGCCTTTATAAACATAGGACCTACTTTAATCACCTAAAGACCAAATAGCCACAGCTAGCTTTTTTGATCCCTTTCTCCTCCACAGCTTCAGCATTGCAAGCTTCCTGAGGAGCAGGCATTGCTCATGCTAGAGTTGGATAAAGTCAAAATTCATTGCAGCAGTGAATTCTAACTGGGTCCACAGTGTGAGTTGTTGGGGCCCCAGCTATTACTGCCAGGCCAGTCAAATGCTGCATGCTGCCATCATGGATGGTGGCTTCAACTGATCCCTGAGGGACTTAGGGCATGTGGTATGAAGTCTGAGGTCTTCCACAAGATGTTTTGTGTCTGGGATCCTGGCAAAGGCTGGAGAGAAGGGTATTAGCAGCACAGATACAGACTGGACTCTGTGGTTGGAGTAGCTGTGGACAGCACGTTCTCCAACACGGTGCACCTGTGCGTGGAAAACTTATGCGCCATGCTTGGTCACAGATCTGCTCCTCTCCACACTCACTCTCTCCTTTTACTTTTGCTCGGTCGTTTTGTATTTTCCTTTATTATTTTTTTGTTCATTTCTTTCTTTTTCTCTCCTGCTTTTGTCTCCTTCAAGTCTCCCAGCTCTGAGCTGCTCCATACACCAACTCCTCCGCCTTTGCCTTTCGCACGCCGCGCCTTATCTCCAGAGGTGCAGGCGGTCACATCTGAGTGGATTGCTCTGACCGTGGGAGTGTCTCCTAGCACCACTCCTGCCATAACTCCTCCATTGCCTCCTCCGCCTGAAGCCTCCCTCTCTCACACTGACTATCTCTCGCCTTCTGCTGCAGCCAGCCCTTCCCCCACAGTCAGCCTCCACCACTCTCATCTCTCTGGCTCCTCGACTCCCAGGTCCATTAAATCCCCATTGCCCTCTTACTCATCCAGACCTCAGTACTCCGCTTGCAGTTTCTATCAGGTCACTCCGCAAAGCGAAGAAAAGTTTGTTGGCTCCCCTTCTCCCAGCGTGAGCTACTCTAACTCCCCTCGCTGGGCAGTGGAGAGCCCCGAAAGCGTCCTCGCAGAGCAGTGTGACACCACTGGCAGCCAAGCCTGGCTCCAAAAGACTAGAGAGGGCAGCAGCAACCCCGAGCAGGGTGCTCATGCTGTTCCCAAGATCTCTGTCGAGCCCTGCCTGAAACCATCCCAACTAGACATGCGTGTGAGCCCAGAAAAGAGACCTGTGAGTTCCTCTGAGGACAACCAGTTGTGTCAGGAGCTAATGGCTATTGTGCAGGGTGGTAAAACAGAGAAAAGAGGCGTGAGGAAAGGTGATCTGGGAAAGTTTCAAAGCGGGGAAAAGAAGGTACTTCTCCTGCATGTGTGTGTGCTGCTCTGAATTCCTGATTTTAACTGGTGTGTTGAGGTTTGTGCTGCTCTGCTGGCCAGGCAGAGCCAGTGGCTGCCACATGTCATTTTGATGATCCTAAGACCCTCTTCCAGGGGTCACCCGTGGCATTCACTGGATAGCAGATCAAAAAGTTTTAGAAGAGGGCTCAGAAGCAGTGTAGTGAAAATTATTTTAGAATAGATAATAACACAGGACTGACTTAATTGGTCACGTCTAATGAGGTGATTGTCCCAGATAGTGGCTGTTACCAGGGGGGGGGGGGGGGGGGGGGGGGGGGGGGGAAAGAAGGTACTTCTCCTGCATGTGTGTGTGCTGCTCTGAATTCCTGATTTTAACTGGTGTGTTGAGGTTTGTGCTGCTCTGCTGGCCAGGCAGAGCCAGTGGCTGCCACATGTCATTTTGATGATTCTAAGACCCTCTTCCAGGGGTCACCCGTGGCATTCACTGGATAGCAGATCAAAAAGTTTTAGAAGAGGGCTCAGAAGCAGTGTAGTGAAAATTATTTTAGAATAGATAATAACACAGGACTGACTTAATTGGTCACGTCTAATGAGGTGATTGTCCCAGATAGTGGCTGTTACCAGATGTGTCAGATAAAAGTATCACACAGGCCTCATGCCCATATACCTCACTGTGTAGAATACAGGCAATTCCTTGCTATTCAGAGATTTTCCAGTGTGCAATGGATCATCTTTGGTGATAGAATTTATTTGTTCCTCCTAAAGCCAAGGACTGAAAAGCCTTGTAAATGTCAGCCTGGCTCCTAGAATTGCAAAAGCTGTCCCCTGTTGATCCTGGAGCCTGTGGTTTTAGTGAACCTTAGTCTGGGATGTGCGTGACTAAGTCAGGGAGGCTTGATTGTTATCTATGCATTGAGTGGAATTTGTTACCTTTCCATTTCCAAAATGATGTGAAAGGGTCTAGCCACAAATGAGAATTAGGCCTAGTGATATTTTTCCCCAAGAGCTTCTAGTTATATGTAGCTGTATGTTACAAGGAGAAGGAACATAGGGCAACCTTCCAATAGCTTCTACAACATATCTTCTGCCCCCAGTCTTGGTGTAGGAGATCTGCCTTACTTCGCGGCTCTTAGTTGACTTGGGGTCCATTGTGGGCTACAGCTAGCCAAAATACATTACAGCACCCCCATGCTACCTTGTGTAAGAGTGGAAGTTTGGAGAGCTCAAAATCATAGCATGATAAATACTGTCTTGGATGCACTGCGATAGCCTCCATGACATACCCTATCTAGCCAACGGTAAATAATGAGGAATTAGGGTTTCTAAGATGTCACATTTCACACTGGGAAATCTTATGGCAAATTGTTTCATTTCTGCTTGAATCATAACCAGAAGTGTATTGAAAGCTGTATAAAGAGTGTGCTGTTTACAATCTGGATATATTTTTAGTAGCATTTTTTACAGGCATAACCTGCATGTTTAAAACAGAATGAGGTGGTCAGCTCAGACAAACCAACTGGAAACTGCACTTGCCCTTGCATGGAGTTACGTTTGCTGTGTGTGCATCAAATTTACTGGATAGTAGATGCTCTTATCACTAGCAGTGATTGTGATAAGAGAGTGTGTGCCAAGCTGACCAACTTTTCTTTTCTTCAAAAGACTGCAGACTCAAAAGCATTCTCTTCATCTGCTCCTCTCTCTTCCTCTGCCCTCTCTTCCTCTACTGTCACAACACAGCCACCTCCCAGACTTACACGCAGAGTCAATAAGCCACAGGTAATCATCTTTGCTGATTAATCTTCCATTACTTAGAATTGATTCCATGTCATGCCATTGTTTTGTCATACGCTTGTTTAGCCATTCCTTGATTCCACAGGTGAGATATTTCTCCTGTCATTTCATTCAGAATCTTTATTTTTTTAAAAAATCATTTAAAATGACTTCCAGGCTATGCAGAAGGGCAGGTATGGGCAAAATCTTCAGCTGGTATAAATCCACATAGCTCAAGTCTGGGTTTCTGCCGTTTTGTACCAGCTGAGGATCTGATTTTCTGTTCCGCCAAAGGATTAACCCAGAGCTTATTTAGTTCTGACCTTGAGTTCCTACAGCTCGATTGCATTATAAGGCAGTATCGGTGGTCTTGTTAGCGGGAACGATGTAGTGTGAGATACTTTGGTTCAGGTTTTGTTTAACCACCTGAGATCGGGATTCAGGGTTTGAGTGTCTCAGAGCTGGGGATAAGGCATACACAACTTGGTATCCACAATATCAGGGACCTGTTCCAGCCTTCTCAGGTAGGATTCACAGGTTCTCAGCTCTATTGGTGGGAGCTACAAACGTCTTTAAAGAGGAATGCGGTAGGGTCTGTGCAGCATAACCGACTCGGCCTCAGCACACTGTGTGGCTGGGATTCCGGGGTCCTGGAATGAACAGTGCTCACAGCTGCTGGTGTCTCGTCAGTCCTTCCAGGCAGCTTCCACAAGATGGCAACATTTGAAACAGAAAGCTCACAATTGGCAAAAACAGGACTGAGTTTGTAGCGATGGGTATTGGGGAAGCAATCTTTGCCTTGATCAGTGAACCAGGCAGGCTGCTCATGCAGGATGAGTGTGGGAAGTAGTTGCCAATGTTACTTATTTTCTTGATCAGTTTATGAGAGCGAGATACAGCTTTAACCCTGAAATTTTCCTGTTACCTTTACTCACCTCGTTTCCCTCCGATCGTGAGCTTGCACGACTTTTTACTGAGCAACCACCTCCTGCTTCCCTTTCAGTTTCAATATCTGAGTCCAATAGGATACGTATTCTGCTTCATGTTAAAAATCCACAAAAGTTTTCTGTGTTGGCCTTTCTTGTGGCCTCTGATCTGCTTGGTCCTGCTGGTGCTTGCACTGGGTGTACACGATTCAAAAGAGCAGGAGCAAAGAGTCACATTTAGGGAAAGATGTTTCTCTCGAGTGCTGACTAGCACACAGTTCTATTTTGGGTGTTGCACCTGGTTGTAATAGGACCCTGTGGCCTTTCTTTGGAGTCGAAGTCAAGCCAAAATTTATATTTTATATGCCTTGACAATCAGAGCTGACAATTGTCAGTGTCAAGTTAAAACTGTGTGTGACATTATCAGTAGTCTTGACCTCCTTTCCAGCTCTGGGTCTACAGTTGTTTAGGGAGCAGGAGTGGTATTTGTATGTGCAAATGACTTCTCTTTATCTGCGTGACCCATACAGAGGCTGATGGCTTCAGCAGAACTGCAGGTAATACCCTGGAGGCCTTTTCAAAAATCTGTCAGCTTTTCATTGATTTAAATCAAATGAGAAAAGCACTCAGTAAACATGGAAATGAGACATTACATTTGGGTTTTGTTTCCATTACTGTCCATCCCTGGTGTTTGAGGTATTTTACCATTTTGAATTTTAGTTTTCTTTCTCATTATAGAGAACCTCCCCAGTTATGAAATTCTGACCCAGGGTTTTTTGCAGGTTTAAGACCCCTTTGGGGGGGGTCTGGCGTAAGGACTGTGTTCTTGCCTGTTCCGTTAAGTAATAATATAAAGTGCAATGGTTCTTTTAGCTATTCTGAAGTTACTCCCTTTTGTTTAGTTTCACAGTCCAAACTAAAAGGAAAAAAGAACAACCCCACAGCATGTGTAAGATATTTCAAGTATCACTTACAGATAATTTATTTCAATATTCCAGTAAAACATGATGTTAAGCAGTAATGTAATCTATCAAATTATTTCAGGGGACCCTCCAAAATTTTCTGGTTTAATTCCTGTTTTACTCTGAGGTCCTCCTAGTGTGACAGTCAGCAGTGGTGCTAGCGAGTGTGTGAGCAGTGCAGCAGCTTTGGCCTCGGGGCCAGACTGCAGCGGGCTTGTGGGGTGGGGAAGGCAGGAGTGGCTGGACGAGTGTCCCTGCATCGCCCAGCAGTGTGAGGGATGTCGGTGGGGGGCTGTCTGCTCCTTTCCACTTCTGCAAAACCCCTCGGGCAGAGTGGTGAGTAATATCACCCGCTTTGTGCTGGTAGAGAGGAGAGCCTATGAGGAGGATGCTCAGACCCCATGTTCCCCAGCCCAGACCTGGGGAAGGCATTGGTACCGGCTCCCCGTGGGAGATGCATTTTTCTGCTGTAGGCCCAGACCAGCTACGCTTACTTAGCACGGCAGTGCTTCTGCCCAGCGCGTTTATTGTCCAAGCCAGAGCTGCACAGCCTGCAGCAGGCGTTGATACCGGCTCCCCGTGGGAGATGCATTTTTCTGCTGTAGACACAGCCTTCAGCTTCTGATCTGCAGGCCAGGGAGTCTTTCTATTGACTTTGACAGCCTTTAGATCAGGCTGCTCCTCACTGCAGCCTTTTCAGTGTCCTTTGTGAGAGCTCTTTGGCCAGCTTTCTCCTCGCTTTCACCAGAGCTGGGGCTTGGGGCTTTGTGTGTGCGAAGGTTTTCCTTTTTCCTTTTGGCTGGGCTGGGGAGTCCTCCCTGCTCATGGTTCTCCATTCACGTGTGGGAGCATCACTGCTGATGTGTGTCCTTCTCTGAGGGGATACCAATTTGTCTGTCTGTCTTGTCTGTCTCTCGGTCTGTTCTGCTTAGCTTTCTCTTTGCTTATGTAGTCCTTTAACTCCCACCAGAGAGGGATGGAAGAAGACACGTAAACAAGAGCTGTAATGGATAGACACACTGATGACACTTGACTTCGCTAGGAGCCGGGAGAGCACTATTGAGTAGCCCCAGCATCTTTCTTCCTAACAGTTAAAACGCGCCTCAGGGCTTTTCTAGGCTCTTAATGTAGAACCTTTTTCTGGTATTCTTACAAACCTGTGGTGCTCTTTAAATCCATCCTCAAACTCCATATGAGGTGGAAACAGTGGCCAGCTGTGCTTCAGGACTGGCTGTACTGCATATTTGTATAGTCTGTAGACATGGAGACATAGACACTTAAGCACCTGCTTAAGTTTATTCACTTATTCTTAACAAAGCACGTACCGTGACTGAGGGGGTAGGAGTTGAGTTGTCCTCACGGGTTGTGAATACTTGTCACTTCTAGGGCCCTCAGTTTACCTCCAGCAGCAGCAGGGCTGGCTTAGTGTTTTGAGGGAACTTCTGTGGTTTATACTTTGGAGCTGTGCCCCACACTCGCTGATTCCTCGGCCACCTGCGGCACATGGAGCCACCACTGTAGGTAGTACATGGGCTTTCTGAACCCGTGTTTGAAGAGCATTTGGACCTATAACACCTTTTTTTTTTCTTTGTTCTCTTCTCTCCCTGCAATAATAATGTAGTGGTTTTTTTTTAAAAAAAAAAAGCCATCTAGGCCATGCTATTTTTTTTTTTTTTTGTTCTCTTCTCTCCCTGCAATAATAGTGGTTTTTTTTAAAAAAAAAAAAAGCCATCTAGGCCATGCTATCAAGGTCACTTGTCTGAAGCACTGGGGTGGTACATTTACAGCCTAAAATTATAGTGTCTGATCTGGTCGGTTTTTCGTCCTGTTTGGCTAATGCTGCATAGTTGCTGATTTCGGGGTGTTCCATCACCTCACTGCAGGGCTCAGCTGTAGCCCTGGGAGTTAGTGCGGAGACACCCACTGCTTTGGTAGGAGCTGCCTGGATCTCTGGAGCAGAGGCCGGAAGGGATCCACTTAGTCGTGTGTCTTGTCAGGAGCTGGGGGCTGCTGGGAGGGCAGGGGACTGCTTGGCCTCTGCCTCTGCCCAGCTGCTTCATAGAAGTCCCTGTGAGGATCCTGCCAGGAAGGGGAACGTGGCCAAGTTTCTGATGCTGGTTGGCTGCACCTCCTGGTATTACACATACAAGCCTGCACCATGGAGCATTCAGAGGTAGCGTCAATTTTTTTAGCTTTCAAATAACTAATGTAATTCATAGTTATTAATGCTTTTTGGAGGAAAAGCCGGTCAGGGAGGTCACAAGTAATCAATGAGAAATGGACCACACGGTCTTAGGAGCTCATGGAGCAATTTCAGCAGTCAATTTATTAGTATGGAGCAGAGAAGCACTTTCTTGAATTAAAAATATCATTCTTACAGCTGCCTCTCACCTCAGCCTGGAAATTGGTTTTCCCAGCTACTTGACCACCTGAGTCAGCTCTGATCTCATCAGATTTGATGCGCTATATCCAGTTGGTCTGCACAATATTAATTTTAAATTTCTAATTATTCCATTTGCCTTTCAGGGCTGATAATAGGCAGGAATGACTTCCAGAAATCCTGTGACGATTTCAGGCTCCACAGTAAATGCTTTGAATGAGAATTCCACTGCCATTAGCCCATCCAACTTACATTTAATTTTCTCTCTGTAGAAATACACATGGTAACAGAGCATTGTTTCTTAGGGCAGTGATCCCAGATTCCAGCCCCAGACAGTACAGCTGACTACAAAGGAGTTGCTGTGGGGTCGGGTTGGCCTAGAGTGGGTCACAGTCCTCGAGAAAAGAGACTGTTTGCTTTAATACAATGATGGGCACAGCTCCAGAGGTCCAAGATGTGGTTCAGAGGAGCTCTGAGAACAGGAATTAGACAAGGATGAGATCATCACCCTGCATTTCTCCAAACTCTTTGAGCATGAAGATGGGCTCTGGGCTGAAGGTGTCACAAACCTCTTTATCCTCTGCTTCTGCTCTGTCTCGGGATGCCGTGAGAAAGCAAGCCTTTTACTGAAGGGCATTGTTGAAGTGAATAAAGAGGAGGAGGGAAGGCATAAAAATTGAGGCCTTTGGAATTTGTGTTGAAAATTGTGTTGAATGATCACAGAGGATGGCAATGCTCTGCATCTTAGCCAATCCACTTTGCCAAGCAGTCCTGCAGGTAGTATAAATAACCCTACACCAGTTCAGACATCCCATTTGCTCACAGCGTGCCCCTTGCTTTCAGTAGGTGTTTGAATGTGCAAAAAGCGTGCAAAACCAGGCTCTGGATACCTGTGCGACTTTCTCAGTGACCTTCCCCATTAAACCTCCAACCCCAAACAACCTGATTTTCCTTGCCGTGCCCTGGGACACGCGAGTCCCTGTGAAGAGTTGTGACTGGGGAGAGAGGCAGGGCGGAGTCCAGAAGCTTCACAGGTGGTGGTGTTTGGAGCTGGGTTTTCCAGTCAGGGCCTCCTCTGACCTGAAGTTCTGCCTTGTTGTGAGAATTAACAGAGCAGCTCAGATCCTCGCTTGGTACAAGCTAGAGTGATTTTGATGGGGCTACACGGCATTGTGCCTTCTGAGGACCTGAGCTGGTCTTTTTTAAGAAGCAGGCGAGTTACTGTCCTCTCCTGTGTCAAAGTCATTGAGGACTTTTCTAAAAACAGCAGCAGATTCCTCTCAGCATGCTTTTGGCCTTTCAAGTTTGATGCTCTCAAGTATGTGCTTCTGTCCTTAGTTTTTTTCCCCCCTACAGGAATGCAGTATGACACTATGTACCATTTCTGGTTGGAGCGGTGTCCATGACCTTCCACTCCGATTCCCTGCTCTGAGCTTCTGTTTCGCTGTCACCTTTCTCTTTGCAGCGTTCTGTGTGCTGCAGTGCAGTTGCGTTACTGTAGCCTGAATGTCTCTTGTGTAAATGAAAGACCTTGTTGTCCAAGAAGCGTGGTGTTGGGGTGGGGAGGGAAGAGTTGTTCATTTTCTTTTGTTGTCTGCACTCCATTTAATTTTTTTAAATTCTGACCGATATAACATCTGCTAAAATGTCTTCCTTATCATTTGCTTGGTGATCACACAGCCTTCCCACCATTCATTGAGAGCTGGACCAGATCTCACAGAGTCTGAAAAGAGCTATGTGGTAAGGCCACTGTTTAAATCAGATGTGTAGTCCTAGACTCTCTTCACCCAGACAGTAACACCTCAGTAGAGGTAAAATGCCAGCGCTATTTTTTAGCGGCAAAGTAGGTACATATCTATCTATTTGCATATATTGTTTTGTTTGCAACAGAAAAAGGGAATTTAGCAATTAGAAAAACTGTCATAGCAGATGAGAAGTTGGGCTAATTGTGCTGCCAGTCCCTGGGTATAAGTTAAATGAAGCAAAATGCATGAATGGAGCGGCCCACCTTGCATTCTTGAACTGACTTCATAGCATTTGTAATGGTGCCACTGCATAACTAATTGCAACCTCTTATGCTGCTGCTTTTAAAAATATATGTATATGTATTTGTTACAAATCTTCAAACTAAATGCCAAATTCTTCTGTATCTTGCCTGTTTCTCCATGCTTACACCTGGATCCCTTCTGCACTCCACTACCTGGATATTTACCTGGATCTCTACAACTCTTTTTTTTTTTTTTTTTTTTTTTTACTGGACTTATGTGCTGCATCTGGAATGTCCCATCTCTTCTTGTCTATATTTTCCCCTCCCTCCCCCCTGTTGACTGTCCTTTGGGTGTTCTTGGATGTCAATGCTGCCTACCACGCAGGAAGCTGTTTGCAATGAGATCATAAACATTGCAGAAAAATCTGTTCATTACTGCAGTACTGTTTCTCAGCCTCTTGACTCTCGCCACAAGGTGACCTCTAATGACCATAAACCATCTCTCATCATTTCTCAGCAACCTCAAGCACAGCAGCAAGGAGCCAGCCCTGACAGAAGTCAAACACCACGAGACATGTAAGTCCTTTTGGCTCCCATCTCTTCCAGGGGTCTTGTCTCTGGTGGTGAAGATGGGGGTGTGCGAAAGCTTCAGCATTTCAGGAGTTAAATTAGAATTATGGGAAGGTGTCAGCTTTTCTTTAAAGAACAAAAATAGCCACGTGTCATCATAATGAGTAGTTAAAAACCGGGACCTTTGTGTCTGTATAGCACCTGAAACAATGACCTCATGATCCAGGACTGGGTCTCCTTTGGGCACTTGATTCATGCTGGTTATGGGGACTATCTCAATGTCTTTGTATCTTGAAGCTGGAGACAAATTAATATCCACTGGCTACACCTGGCTCATGTGGCATGGGTCAATGTGTTCACCCCTGTTCTTAGCTTCTCACAGTACAGTGAGCAGTCCCAACACCGATGCCGCTTGGTGCGTTGTTGGCCAGTTCTGCTGATGAATTGGTGGCTGAATGATCTGAGAGACCAAGGCTGAGATTTTCAAAGCGTGTCTGGTGGGTTTAAACCTGGAGCTGCCATTAAGCTTGGTGGGGCCTTTCACTGGTGGTTTTGAGAATAGTAGCCCGCACTGTGTGCTGGGGACTGAAGTTCCTTGGCAGTTGGGTCCTGAAAGGAGCCTTTGCTTTCCCCCACCCCTTTATGCAGAACGGAAAGTCTCACATCAGCTCTATTTTCACTCCCCACAGGCAGGGGATCCAAACCTCCCCAAATTTGCCCCAAGATTGTTTCCACTCCATAAGGTTCCTTTCTGATAGATACAGAGTGCCTCTGGTGCAAGTGGTATCTCAGGGCAGGATTCAACCTTAGATTTTGTTTGCACCGTACCTCCTCAGCCATGATTTATCCAGCAACCTTAGTGCGGTAGAGTAGGCAGTATCTTCTTCTGAAGTCCTTCATTCTGCCATTTGGTCATTCATGGCCCTGCCTGTGTGCCTGGGCAAGGGAGCAGGTGTCTCAGCCCAGGAATGAGTGTATCCAGGTTTTGGCTTGCATTCAGTAGGGTGTCTGCACTCGTACGCTCTCTAGGTGCTACACGTTAGGAAGACTCCGGTTGTTACAGTCTATGGAGACAACTACATGGCAAAAAGAAAACAGAAGCTCTCTGCCGATCCCATACAGTGCAGGCGTGACACTTTTTACTGCCATGGCCTTGTGACAACAGTCAATTTAATGCAGTTGGCTTCCACCTTTCAAATGGAAAACACAGGTCCGGACTGCATTGAACAAAATACAACCGGAATTAGAAAGGGGAAGGGAGACATCTCCTTCTGAAGGGATGTCAGGGAAATCCAGTGGCTAATGTGCAGTATCTTTCTGCTTTTAGAGTTAGCTACCAAGCCCTCTACAGCTACACTCCTCAGAACGATGATGAGCTGGAACTGAGGGACGGTGACATTGTCGATGTCATGGAGAAATGTGATGACGGCTGGTTTGTGGGTGAGTGTGACGCTTGCCTGTCAGCAGCGCTTTTTGAGATGCAGATGAGCAATTTTGCAGAGCGTCTGGAAGTTGCTTTCATTTGCAGGGCCAAAACGGTGAAAAAAATCAACTTGACTTTTTTCACAATTTCTCATCTTTTCCCACCAAGAACATTAAAATTAGGGTGCAGGGTGGTGGAGCTTTGTTTTCCTTGCTAGGTCTCTAGTTTTTCCTTTTTTCTCTTCTTAATTTCCCCATTTCCCTCTTCCTCCCGATCCTTCTTGCTCACACAGATGGCAAAGCAACAGAGGGAATGAAGGAAAACTGGATTTCTGTAGCTTTTCCAAAGCTGAGGGAGCCACGGCAAGTTGCAGAAAGTGGCAAGTAGGGGACGAAGGGAACACATGGATGGGAGTTGCAGTCCCTGAAAATCCAACCTCATCTGTAGCTTATGTTTAGCAAAATCTAGCCCTTTACCTTCAAAGAATGCAAGTCTGGACAGTGTTCTCCATCTCAACACTGCAAATCTAGGCTTGTTATCTCTTCTTAAGGGAGATTAGCTCATTTACACCGATAGGAGTTTGGGTCCTAGCCTATAGACCCAGGAGCTTTCACCAGCACCTTATTAATTGTTAAAAGGGGAGACCAAAGATGATTAGCAGCAGAACTAGTTGTGATCTCGTCTATGCCAAAAAGTTCTTTGACCAGGACCTCGATTTCGTTTTAGAAAGCAATGCCTGCAGGCAGAAGAGGCTGCCGCCTCTACCTTTTTAAACCCCTAAGCCTTCCTTGCATGGCTCCATCTTACTCTGGCTTCCTCATGTTTTATTTTGCAACAGGTACGTCCAGGAGAACGAGGCAATTCGGCACCTTCCCAGGCAACTACGTGAAGCTTCTGTACCTGTAAAATAACAGTGAACCCACCGTGACAGTGACGGGGTTGTTTTCCAGATGGTGTTTTTAAACAGTGAAGAAACAGACAATTTATGAATGTAATAGACAAGAGACGAGACGTGTTAGGAGGATGTGGTTATGTGGTACAGTATTGAGTTGAATGTGTAGCCCTGCTTCCACAGATTCAGGGTGTGATTTGTTTGCTGAAGAAGAGACAGTTTCTAGTTTACAGTGCTGCCTTTGTGTATTCCTCTCCCCTCCCCAGCAAGAGTTCTGGTGATAATCTTAATTTGTATGGAGTATTTACCTCTGAGAAGACTTCAGGGAAGCACATGGTATAGGTTTTGTTTGTGTGTTGAGATAGGATAGTGCTTTGGGGCAGTACGCAGCCTTGCAGCTGCTCCCTTTCACTGGCAAGGTTCAGGGAGGCCAGGCTTTCTGCCCGCTTTCTGCCTCACTGAAGACTCACTTTGCTCTGCCTTCCACTTCCATAGAAAACCCTTCCTTCATGTCGTGCACCTTAAGACCCAGCAGAGGCAGAGGACAGCTGATACGGTTAAACCGCAGAGCTCTGTGTGGAAAAGGAGTTTGGGACTGGTGGTTTAATGCAGAGAGGTCAGCCAAAGCATAATGCAAACGTGCAAAAATCCCAAACCCTTTAATAACGTATTACCTATCTCTGCAGGGTTTTTTTCCTTTGTGCAGGGGGTGTGTGTGTGTTGAGTGTATTGTGTGCATCAAAACGAACTGAGTCCTGTTTTTGAACAGAAGCCTGGCTTTGACATTTATCTGCACAAAGAATAGAACCAATAAACAGAACATCCGTGAGAGCAAATCCTGTTTATGAGTCCTACGGCCGTTCACTTTCTCTGCTGCTCCTGCCCTGTTGCTGGCCCTAAAGGATCACACGCTTTTCGAAGCATACTCTTGGGGATGAGGACTTTGCTTCTTTCCCGGCATTAAGTCTTAGAGGCTCTGATAAATCCGAGCAACATACCACTGAGGGTGCCTTTTTTTTTCTTTTTGGTTACAGTGTCGATGGTAGGTCTCAAATAAATACATGCATTTTGGCTGCCTCTTAGTCATACAAAAAAGTCTAATCAATTTGGAAGGCTGTTCCCAGCAGTTATTACCAGTTACATAGATTTGTATTTCCTTGAGGAAAAAAAAAACATGGCTTGGCTGTTTGCTTGCCTGTAAATCCACTATGAATACTCTTTTGATAGACATTTTGTTATTAAGAAAAAGCATAAACAAAACCAGTTCTATCAGACTCTGCTTCCTACAGTTACCATACAAATAGCAAAGGGTTAGATTGCTATTTTGTCATAAGCCGTATTTAATAATATAAAATGCCTATTTTTATGCTGATGCTTTTATACAGATTTATTAAGAGTAACTACAACTAACTGTTAGCACGACTTGCAATGTTTTGATAAACTAGCCATGCTCCTGGGTTTGAAATCAAGTAGGCTTGTCTTCCGCCTAGGTCAGCGGAAGAGAAGACTCAAGTGTCTCAGAAGTTTGACTGTAAATATGTATATTTAATTTTGTACAGACAATGTACTTACCTTGTATAGAAAAATAATTTAAACACATTGAGTGAAGGGAGGAAACAAAAGGCAGTTGTGAAAGGTTGGGATTTTTTTCCACTTTTATTTAAATGATGGAATTCCATGTATGTTCACATAAAGAGTTTTAGCACAAAATAGCCATTATGAAAGGGTTTCAGATATGACACAAAGTACCACTGTTTCTTTTCTGCAGGAGATACCTTTAATCCTGCATCTTATTTATGGGTTTGTTTTTCTGCTTTGGGTTTGCCCTCCAGTTATTTGCAGCAATATTTAGGCCTGTTGCTAAGATTGGATAACACCAAATTAATCTATCCAGCAAAGTAACATGATGATACTGACTGTATATAACATACTCATTTAAAGGTTTATTTTTCCTTCTTGCTCTTGCCATTTTAAGTTACACACACACACACACACACACACACACAAACCGCAACTTATTTTTGTGTTGATTTTTTGTTTCTTATTGCAGTGGATTACTATTTGAGAATTAATAAATGGAATTATTGAATTACTATTGTGTTCCTTGTACAAATTATTAAATAAAGTCTATTCCCGCTCTTCCTGTAGCAGTGCACTTTTGTACTAGTGCCCCTCTGTGGCTGTCTTTGGCTGCGTCCATACTGAGCAGTAGCTGTCTGCCATGCGCTTCCCGAGTGTCCTGCACCTGACGATCCCGCTCATGACTTGGCCTGAGCTCACCAGTTCTCCCTCTTGAGCCATAGGCAGGCTGTGACTTTTTCTTGACGAAACCAAGGTGTAAAAGCAGAGAAAAAGCTGGTTTACGCCCAGATCTCACTGTGACATGGGGTCAGGGCGCAGCTGCTGTGGCATGCACGCAGACCTGGGAGCTCAGGAGCACACCCAAGTCCACTGGTTTACAAAGGGTCTTTGTGACTCCCCCTCAGATGAGAAGACCACAAGAGTTAAGTAGGACAAGAAACCTCAAATGCCACCCTCTGTGGGAAGGGACGTCAGCTGATGTTGGGTTTACATGTGCATTTTTAACCCTGACTCGGGTCAAAAGCCGTAAGACACTGACTTCTGCGGTAGCTGCACCCTGACCAGGCAGGTATGGCTGCAGCACTAATTCAAGGGGTTTGTGCAAGGTCTGTGACGAACACATCACGTCTCCCAGCCCTGCAGCAGGAGAGCTAGCCAGGGCTTTTTCGGTGTGCCTCCTGTAAAGGAACAGTCCCCGCAGGAGCAGAGCGAGGGAAGGCCAGAGCTGAGCTGCCTGGGTGGGCTCGCTGGGGCTCAGTAACGCACGAGTACCACAAAAGCGCACCCTGCGCCTCCACATGTCCAGCTCCTGCACGCTGCCTGCGCGGGGCTGTGCCCACCCCGAAGGCTGGTCTTTTGTGAGGAGCTTTAACTTCCTTGAGACCTCCACCTCAGACTGAGCCAAAATTGGGCAACGGATTCAAACTCTGCGATGATGCGACCGGATGGCCAGGTGGACAGATACATGTCGTGGCTGCATTCACAATGACTTTAGGAAGTCAAACTATAAACAAGCCAATCCTAAAACCAAAATAACAGGACGGCAAAAGCCTCAAGCTATTTTACATGCCCTTAGAAAACACACAGACACAAGCCCATTTTCCTGTTTTTGCAGGTTACTTCATATAAAAAGCAAAAGGGCTGCCTGACCACCGCTTTGCTGCAGTCACTAGCATTGCTAGCCCTTGCTTTACAGTGCTGTGGCCCGGGAGGGGAGAAAGAGAGACTCATCTATAGCTATTGAACCTCGATATTTACTGATGTCGCTCTCTATCCTGACGTACTTGGCAAAGAGCAAGCTAGAGATGCTTTTGTGACTGCAAGAAGCTGGGCGTTCAGGGAGGGGAAGAGGACCCAGCGGTCTGTCACAGGCCTCTGGAAATCCCCCACACCCGGGGGGAAAGGAGCTCTCGGTGTCACTTTCTTCACCACCAGGAGATGTGTAATGATGCGGTGGAAGAACTACCGCTCTCTGACAGAGATGAGATTAATAGTCCAGATGCACGTACCTTGCAAGGAAATAACCCGTGAAATGACGAGGTAATGCAGGAACAGGGAGGAAGCCAAGAAAGGGGATTGCAGAGGCAAGGGTGTGCCTTGCGACGGGATCATTCGTGGCCGTGACTTGTAGGGCCAGCACCTCGGTGATCTGCCTCATCCCCACTTGCTGACTGCTCCACGCTCCCTGGCCGTGGCTGAATCCCAGCTTCAGCAGCGGCCTTGTGCTGCGGCTCACTGATGTTCTGCATTGCCTGAGCTGTGTTTATTTACTAAATAAGCAGCAACGCTTGCGCTCAGTTTGTAAATGCCAGCACCGTTGCTGTTACCAACCTCTCCCACCTGTCCATCGTCAGATCGGTGGGGGCTTAACATGCAACTGGAACAACTATTTTTCCTGAATCACAGCTAAGGAGGTTGGCTGATAAACCCGTACAGCAGAATTCCGTCTTTCGTTGGTGGTACCACCCCTAAGGGGCTAGAGATAAACAAAACTGCCTAAAGCAGTGACAAATCAGAGCTAAGTTAGGGGAAAGGTAATACCCTTCCTAGGCTCCGCCCTCGCTCATCAGCTCCCAGCTGGGAAAGAGCACGCAACGCCACTTATTTCCATCGCCTCCATTAGGTTTCAGAGTTAACATCACACTAGGGCGGGGGGGGAGGAGCCGTATTTGCCTGAGAGCTGCCGCGCCGGGGCAGTCTCGCCGCCCTCCGGTGTCTTGCTCCGCGGCCGCCCCCCTGCCTCCGGGTCGCGGACAGCTCCTGCTGCGGCAGAGGCTTAGTTCCGCCGGGGGCGGGGGGCCGTAAGGCGGCCGGGGTTTCCGAAGACCGAAATTCTCGTCCTGCGGCAGCGGCTCGGCCC